TTTTTAAGGAGGTCAAAGAGTAACTTTCCTAAAAAAGTGCTGGTGTGGTAGTGTAGGATAAGCACTGGAGTGAAAGAAGGTCATTTTGAACCACAAGATCGGTAGTTCAAACTCACCAGTCTCTCCTCAGAAACCCTATACAGTATCTCCCCAAATTTATAGCAACCTTCACAGGCCTTAGAAAATAATCAGCTTAAATTTTAGGCTGCTCTGTTTGGTCAAACATTTAATTAACTCACTCCTAATGTGATGATTCAGGATCTCTGGTAGCGTAGTGGTTACCAGCTGGGCTGCTAACCTCAAGGTTCGCATATCGAAAGTACTAGCTGTTTCGCGGGAGAAAGATGAGGCTTTCTGTTTCCGTAAAGATTTACAGCCTCAGAAACCCTATACATTGTCGCTCTGAGTCAGAGCCGACTCCACAGCACATAACATATCGCTACCAGACCTTCTATAGGATAAATGTTATCGAATAAATGAGACTGCTGACTTTTTATTGGTAAGGAAGCTAAAGATTGAGAGAAATTCAATGATGTTCCTAATGGCCTTCATCATTCATTAGTGGCAGTAAATCTATGCCAATTCAAGCCATTTAACTCTCAGCCCTGTGCTCCAGCCTTCTGTCATCCTTTGCACTGCCTCTCTTGTTGCTGCTGTCTCCTGAAGTTGACCTTAGAGTCCCCTTGCCAGGTAAGGGAGCAGACAATGTGAGAGAAGTCTATGAGTTCATACTAGCTCAGGATACATCGCAGTGAAAGGTTATGCTTACTCTTAGGAGACCAGTGTAAATTTTGGGGCCGTAGGCTCTTCAAAGCCTTCAGTAGAATTGGTTTTACCCTTCTTCAGAGTGCCTCTTTTATTAGAGCTGAAATCCCGTTCCCTTTGAGCTTAATTATAACAGAATATCTTCCTGTTTCCCACCCTGACATCCAAAGGTGGGTAGTAAATTTGACACCTCTGGAAAGAGATCTTTCCCATATGCGCACTGTTCTTTGTGCCTCTCCTAGCCAGGAGGATACAGAGTACACTTTGCTTGTCTGTGGGGCCTTCTCTTTGTCATGCTTCCATTGGACCCAACTCTGCTAGCACTTGCTCCACAAATGCTGGTGGAGAGATGCATCCCTGGTTAGAGTTGCAGCAGGACCGCGTTCTAGTCATGTTGTCTTCCGGCGTCCGCCAGGCGGCGCTAAAAACACAGAAAGCTGGGCTGCTCACAGATTCTTCCTTAATGTGGTCACTTTGGTTCTCTTTGTAGGCCCTGGCGGCTCTGCAGCAGCGGCGGGGCCTTGCGCTGGGATTGGCTGGTCCTCTGAGGCCTGGCTGGGCACCAAAGACTGTGCAAGGCAAGACTTAGTCTTGGGGGCAGGATTTTAGCTGTGAGTCTGAGTTAAACTTCCGTGTCTATGCCTGTGCAAGCGTCAGAGTCAAGGGTGTAGAAGAGGGCGGGGCAAGTGGTGATTTTCTCCTGCACTTTCTCAACTGCATTAATAACATTGCCAAGTCATGCTTTAGACAAGCTCACATTGGTCCTGAGTCCATGTGACAAGTGAGGAAACTGAGGCTGAGAAGTGGAAGGCGTGGCCAACTGCAGGGCCAACCAACCTCCTGCCGGGTACCAAAATTTCAGGGTCTGCATTCCCAGACCTCCTTGGATCGGTGGGCTTCGGACGCAAGGCTCCTGCAGCATTCACTGCAGCCCACCACATGGCACCCAGTACACCTGAAGGAAGCTCCTTGGAGGAGGAGCTCCGGACGCAGAGGAGGAGCCTGGGCAGCACCTGGGAGTCCAGGACACAGTTTTTCTGGATAAGAGGCAGAGCCTGGTAGGGCAGAACGGACACAGTTTTTCTGGATAAGAGGCAGAGCCTGGTAGGGCAGAACGCTCCAGGGTCAGACTCATGGGAGAGAAGCAGATCTTGTGCGTGGGGTTAGTGGTGCTGGACATCATCAATGTGGTGGACAGGTACCCGGAGGAGGACGCCGACACCAGGTAGGGGCGCCGGGACCCCTTGGAGAGCCCGGGGCACACCACACTTCCGTGCTTGTAACTGGCTGGAAGCTATGAGAGTCCAGCCTTCTACCTGGAGAACCTGGGGTGGCTCTAAGCGGGAGAGAGGAGGAAAGAGTTTAGGGCTTTAATAAGAAGTAAGCTTTTCAGAACTTGGTCTTAGTCAATTTTCATTTCAACCCCGAGCCTGAGAGGGACATGATTATTCCCATTAATGATAATAAACAAGTAGAGGCTGTGAGAGAATATTAATCCAAGGACACACACAGCTAGTAAGGGGCTGGACGAGTTTTTGTTTTTGAATGACAAGACCCATGCACTTATCTCTCCACCAACATTTGTTTATAGTTCTATATATATGTATATATATATACATACATACACATTTATATAGTAGTATCACCTGTTTCTTCAAAAAAGATTTGAGGTAGCTTACAATAAGAGGTGGAGTCGTGGTGTGGCGCTGTGGGCTAATGCGTCAGACTGTATAGTCGTTTGAACTGCAATGTCGGTGGTTCAAGCTCACCAGCTGCTCCTTGGAAACCCTATACAGGGTCTGTATGGGTGGGAATTGACTTAACGACCATAACGACTCTTAACAACAGTAAGAGGTATGTGCAATTAGACTGTACAAGGGATATTTAAAATTCTGGTGTTGAACTTTAGGGCTTGCTGGTGGCACTGGAGACATATTGAGGATGCTATGGGATATGGATAGGGCTGATTCATGAGGGACCGCATACTTTCCCTGATCCTAACTTGTAAAGCTTCTCAGAAGTCATTTTTAAGGAGGTCAAAGAGTAACTTTCCTAAAGTGCTGGTGTGGTAGTGTAGGATAAGCACTGGAGTGAAAGAAGGTCATTTTGAACCAGAAGATAGGTAGTTCAAACTCACCAGTCGCTCCTCAGAAACCCTATACAGTATCTCCCCAAATTTATAGCATCCTTCACAGGCCATAGAAAATAATCAGCTTAAATTTTAGGCTGCTCTGTTTGGTCAAACATTTAATTAACTCACTTCTAATGTAATGACTAAGGAGCTCTGGTAGCGTAGTGGTTACGAATCGGGCTGCTAACCTCAAAGTTGGCAGTTTGAAAGTTGTAGCCATTTTGCAGGAGAAAGATGAGGCTTTCTGCTCCCGTAAAGATTTACAGCCTCGGAAACCCTGTACATGGTCCCTCTGAGCCAGAACCGACTCCACAGCACATAACATATCGCTACCAGATCTCCTATAGGATAAATGCTATAGAATGTATGGGACTGCTGACTTTTTATTGATAAGAAAGCTAAAGTCTGAGACTGCTGACTTTTTATTGATAAGGAAGCTAAAGATTGAGAGAAATTCAATGATGTTCCTGATGCCTTCATCATTCATTAGTGGCAGAAAATCTACGCCAACTCAAGCCGTCTGACTCTCAGTCCAGTGCTCCAGCCTTCTGTCATCTTGTGCACTGCCTCTCTTGTGGCTGCTGTCTCCTGAAGTTGACCTTAGGGGTCCCCTTGCCAGGCAAGGGAGCAGAGAAAGTGAGAGAAGGCCATGAGGTCAGACTAGCTCAGGCCGCATCGCAGTGCAACGTTAGGCTTACTCTTAGGAGACCAGTGAATATTCTGGGGCCCCAAGCTCTTCAAAGCCTTCAATAGAATTGGTTTTACCCTTCTTCACAGTGCCTCTTTTATTAGAGCTGAGATCCTGTTCCCTTTGAGCTTAATTATAACAGAATATCTTCCTGTCTCCCACCCTGACATCCAAAAGTGGGTAGTAAATTTGACAGCTCTTGAAAGAGATCTTTCCCAAATGCACACTGTTCTTTGTGCCTTTCCTAGCTAGGGGGATACAGAGTACACTTTGTTCATTTGTGGGGCCTTCTCTTTGTCATGATTCCATTGCACCCAACCCAGCTCACTGATGGGCAGACTTGATTGGTATCCTCATTCTTCCTTAATACTGGCATCAAGAGGGTAATATCTGAGATCTCAATCCCACTGGCCCTAAGATAAAGGTGTTCAAGGGGCATTGGTGCGTCTTAGTACTTGTCACCTGAGCCTCTGCAGACCTCTGAGGAGTAGGAGTGACCCTTGCCTCCTAGAATCCAGGCTGAGGCAAATCTGCTGAAAAGCATCTTCATGCGCAGAAGTTGGGTGTCAGTGTGACGCTGAAAGGCTTCCATTTCCTGTTTTTTTTTTTTTTTTTAATGTTTTATTGTGAGTTATGTGATAGTTTACATGGGAGAACATTCGTCAGTGTCCTTTTATGAAAAGTTTCACATCCTTTCTGGGAAATCTCATCAAAGCCATGACCTAACTTCTATCATTTAGAAAAGTCAGAGTAAATATTTATCAGTAAATATTTGGAGGTCAGGAAACCTGGGTTCTCATATCAGCTTTGTCACTAACTATTGGTGTATCCTGAGTAAGACTGACTTCTCTAGGCTACTCTTCTTGGTGTGGAGATTTTTGCAAAACTCATAGCTTGGAAAAATATGGAACGCTTTACAAATCAGCATGTTTCCTTCCTAATGAAACCATGCTCTTTTCTCAAAGGCAGAGAAACCTCAGGGAGAAGTTTTATTTACAGGTATCTTGCCCTGAAACTCTGGTTCATCTATTTCTTTGAACTAGTGGTTCTTTGGTATTTGTTTCTCTTATTGTAGGCTGCCACGATGATTATTTTTGGAACTGTTGGTAGGTGATGTCAGATCAGTTCTCACTCCTAGTGACTCTGTGCACAACAGAACAAAACACTGCCTGGTCCTGCCTCATCCTCGCATTTGTTGTTATGCCTGTGCCCATTACTGCTGCCACTGTGGGGGTCTTCCTCCTCTTCACTCATGCCCCACTTTTCCAAGCGTGATGTCCTCCTCGCAGATTAGAAATAACTTGCAGTGTTGACCTCACAGTATTATTGGAGCACAAATGAGAAATATAGTCAAAAGTGCTTTGTTTACATTATAATATTTACATTATTATTTTTGTTCTTGATGACAATGAATCCTTCCAGGTGTATCTTGAGTTCACTTCTTTTGGTTAGATTTTCAGTAAAGATGGAGGAAAACTCATTTTGCCCAATAATCTTTTAAATTATCATCTTAAAAGTTACTTCCTGTTTTAGATGAACACAATTTCCTAGTTCGTTCTCCTGTTCTGTTCATTTTAATCTGCAGATATTATTGGTGTCAGGTCTCCTAAGATATAGATAGGTGGTACATTTGACATCTTTGGGAAGAGGCCCTGGAGCTAATATAGGAGGAGGCTGTTATTACAGCCAAGTGAAAGCAGCTGTGAGTGGGGGGGATAATGGACTGTTGTAAACCAAGAAGATTTCCCCTAGGTAGCAGGGCCTTTCAATTGTAATAGAGCTGATTAAGTGGTTTCCTGGTGCCATAAGATGTGGAAAGACAGAAAGTAATCACTGTGGGCGTGAATATAACCTGGACCTCAGTCAACACCCTTCCCATCTTTGGGACTCAGCTGTCCCATCTAGACAGCGGGGGGTTGTCCTCGCTGCTTTCTGAGGGGGGGGTCTCATCGTTTACCTGGTGGGTGGACCAGCCTGCTGGGTCTGCAGTGACCATTCTGTGCCTTACAGGTGCCTGTCGCAGAGATGGCAGCGCGGAGGCAACGCTTCTAACTCCTGCACTGTTCTCTCCTTGCTGGGAGCCCCCTGTGCCTTCATGGGCTCACTGGCCGCTGGCCACGTTGCTGAGTGAGTTGAGGAGGAAGCAGAGGGGGGTCTGCTTAGGGGCATTTTCACCCTGGGAATGCAGGTGTCATAAAGGGGTTCTGGCTACCAGAAATGGAAGGGAGGGGGCGGAGTGGCGTCCCAGGATCCCAGACCCTTATGTGCTGTGCTGGTGTTAATGGTGCGTCTGCTAAGGTTTCTTTTCCACAGCTCATTTCCTTGACCATTTTCTGGACCTGGCTTAAACTTCCCCACCTTTTCCTTCTTTGCTTCTTCAGTGGAATTGACTTTGCCCTTCATTAGCCTCTTATCCAGGTTGTGCTTGAGGCAGGAGGCAGGAAGGGACAGGTTGTGTCCAGGGGCCCAGGGGTCATCCCACAGTTTACTTCCCAATAGAGGGGCAGTGCTGGTGCTCATGTCCCGTTGTTCAGTGAAGCAGCCAGAGTCCCTGGCTGAGGATATCACTGAGTCACGGAGCTCTGCCTCTGCTTACTGGCTGTCTAGGCTTGGGCCTGTAGGTGGCCATACGCTTACTCCATGTTGGCTGTGGCAAGAACCCAAGAGTCCTTTGACCCCTGGTGCTGATTCAGCAAGCACTTATCGGGAGGTGAGACCCACACTTTGCCCACTGTGGGCTCTGGGGCACGCTGCCAGGTTGCTGGTCTGTGAAGCACAGCTCTTTGAACCCAGGTTGAGGGAGACTGCTGCCAGAACCCAGAGCCTCAGTCACAGCCAAACTCCCACCCTGGATGAACTGATACCAAGCGGGTAAAAGGCAAAGTCCTGCGTGTGATATGGGACACGACACGGAGCCAGTGGTTGATCACTTGGTTAACCCTCTGCAGCTGCCCCTTTCCTGCCCCAGCTGAAAGCAGGCACAGCTGTGACTCATGGTTATTGCAGCAGACCCTCCTTTCTGTAGCAACCATGCCCCCAAGGTGACCCATCCTGAGTTCTCCACATTTGTTCAATGATCATTCATCAAGCACCTGTCATGTGTTAGGCCTTCAGGAGCAAAACATTATCTGGCAAATCAGACGATATATATACAAGAAGTTTCAAAATGTTTGTGAGAAAATTCCATTATCTTTTAGTTTCATTTTTCCATGAACTTTTTAAAGCCCTCTTGTATTTTGTGCTCTGAAAACTCTACTATTTAAAGGGTCCTTATAGGAGGTCCTGGTGTGGCGCTGTAGGATAAATACTGGACTGCTAACCACAAGGTTGGCAGTTCAAACTCAGCAGCTGTTCCCTGGAAACTCTATACAGAGTTACGAGTTGTAATGGACTCAACGTCTCTTAACAATAACAGCAACAGGGCCCATTGGGTATAAGAAGGGGCCATGGTGCCATTGTGGGCTAAGCACTGAGCTGCTAACCAAAAGGTCAGTGGTTTAAACTCACCAGCTGCTCCACAGGAGAAAAATAAGACTGTCCCAGAGACCCTAATGCACTGTTCTCCTTTGTTCTATAGGGTTTCCATGAGCTAGAATCCACTCGATAACAGTGGGTTTCGGTTTCAGGTTTTGAGGTGTAAGAAAGGTATATAACTCTGATTGCCCAGTTTCGGTATTGCTTAAAGTGGGATCCCAGTGGTAGTGTAGGATAAGCAATTGACCGCTAACCTCAAGGTTGGCAGTTCAAACCACCAGTCACTTCTCAGGAGACAGACGCGGCTTTTTGTTACCGTAAAGATTAACAGCCTCAGAAATTCTACACCGTGTCTCTATGAATCAGAAACAACTTGATGGCACTAGTTTTGAGTGAGTTTAAAGTGGGGTGCAGCCTGGTTGGTGGCTGGACTGCCAGGCAGAATTGACAGCTCTTAGGCATTGTTGTTGTTGTTAACTGCCATTGAGTTAGTTCCGACCCTGTATAGGGTTTCCAAGGAGCAGCTGGTGAGCTTGAACTACCAACCTGTGGTTCAGACCAACTTTGCAGTCCAGCACATTAACCCATAGTGCCACACCAGTACTCCTCAGGCATAGAACATCCCATTTCTAGAGAGCCTGGAGTGGGAGATTGGCCTCCTTTTTCTCTTGCTGGCACAGTTTTCCTGAGGGGACACTCCCCTGGGCCCACTCAGATTAGAGGGGATACTGGCAAAGATTCCTAGACCAGTTCCACATTGAGGGGCACCAGGCACTTGGAGCCCTTCTTGGAGAATGAACTTTCCTTTGCAGGGAGAGGGTAGTGGGGCAGCCTCATTCCTAGCTGGGCATATGGAGAGTGTGGGAATGAGAAGAATCCCAACTGTAGGATTTCTTTCAGACATGGTCTTTCAGACCATGGGCTCTGTCCCCATCTCCAGGGTCATCATCATCTGGAAGGGACTCCAAAAATAAGAATACATGGGGATGAGCATGAAGAGGGCAGCTGGGGGACAAAGTGTCACCTTGGTAATTAATTATTAATTCAGTTGGAGCCAGCATAAAACTCATTCAAGCCACAGTACTCTACCTGTTTAGTTCAAACAGGGTACAGTGTCTAGGCCCCAGATCTATGCCTATGTAGCTTTATGAACTGGAGCAAATGTTTTCTGTCTTGAATTAGCCTTAAGAACAGTGTCAAGGTTGGGGTGTGCAGTCAGGCCCTATAAGAATGTCCCTTGGTGTGTTTCTCACCAAGCTTCAGGCTATGCCCATTTCTCCTACCCCCTTGCACAGCCTGTGACCCTTTCAGGACAAGACTGTGATTTCCAGGTTCCTCCTAGTCTTCCTCTGTTTGCACCCCAGCCTTTCAGGGTCCCTAATGGCCCTGCCAGCTACCCTCCAGTCCCTACCACCCTTGTCGAACTGCACCTTCCCCTGGGTTGCTCTGCTCTGGCAGTTTTCTCCTGGATGATCTCCGCCGCTATTCCGTGGACCTACGCTACACGGTCTTTCAGACCATGGGCTCTGTCCCCATCTCCACGGTCATCATCAACGAGGCCAGTGGCAGCCGCACCATCCTTCATGCCTACAGGTTTGTACACCAGTCTGCACCTTGCCAGCTGTCGTCGCCATCACTGAACTCCAAGAATGGGACCCTTCTCTTTAGATACCTCAAGGTCTCCAGCATACCCTCCCCGGTCCTGTGAGAGGTCTAGGCCACTCGTAGGCCCTAATCTGTGTTTCCTTGCCCTTTCCCTGGCTGGGGTTCCACTTCAAAGCTTCCTGGTGGCTGACTTCAGGCGGCGGGGCGTGGACGTGTCTCAGGTGGCCTGGCAGAGCAGTGGGGAGACCCCTTGCTCCTGTTGCATCGTCAACAACTCCAATGGCTCCCGTACCATTGTACTCTACGACACGTAAGGCCCCTGGCTTCATTCTGCCACAGCCCACCAATCACTTCACAGCCTCACTCACCACTGTGGACATCCTGCTGTCCACCAGCTGCAGTTTTTCTCTGTATCAGAAATTGCCCCCATACCAAAGTGTTTGGTGATTTTTGAATGGGTTTCAATTAGGGGAGAAGTGAGGTGGGAAGCGATGGGCTTTGCTCTGCCTGGCAACTTGACCTTGTTAGGCACCAAAGATGAGCAGGCAGGCCTGTACAAAACATAATTTATGATGTGATTTCCCCATAATTAACTAATCAGTAGCCTGGGTGTGGGTCTGGGAAACGGTCTCAAGTCAGAGGGGTAAGGGTGGGGGTGTCAAGCCAAACCATCTGAAGGGGCAGGGGGCCCACTGCCATGTTCAGGGTTAGCCCCAGAGTTGCTAGCCTGCAGCATGGCACCAAAGAGCTGGAATTCGGGTGTTCAAAGGAAATGAAACTTCCAAGGGTGGGTTCCAGGATAATGAATCCAGACCAAATACTTTACATATAATATTCAGCCATTGCTGGATGAAAATCTGGGTTACCAGATCAGGGCTGTCTGATATGAGTGTGGGGAGGGATCCTTTCAGAGTCCCCAGTTACTGGGGAGAGGCCCCCGTGGGCCTCGACCTTTCTTATCTCCTCCCCCTGATTCCCCCCTGAAGGATTTCAGAGGTTTAGTATACTGAAAACCTAGTATATATCAGGGTTGGGAGGGCCCAAACCCAGCTGCCTTGGAGGTCCAGGTTGTCCCTACTACCTGGCATGACCACTGGATCTGGGGGAGGGCAGTCACCACAGGACCAACTTGACAACAAATAGTCTCTGGGCTCCATGGAGTGAGTGGGCAGGCATATGTGCTAGAGGCACACACTCTCAAATCGGGTAATCCTAGACATCAGCTCAGGAAATGACCAATTTGTAGCAACTTTGATCAAGGATACAACAAGGATATTCCAAGGAAGCCAGGAAGAGGTTTGAGGAGCAATGTTTATTGCCCACCTGCCTTACTCTAGGCATATTCACACAATCCCAGTAGACTTGTGAGGCTGGAGGTTTCGGCCCCGCTTACCTCAGAAAGTACCAGATCACACAGCTAGTTAGTGTTCAAGGGATTAGAGTACAAAGCTTGGTGGGGGGGACACTGGCCAAGAGGAGGATAGAGGTAGACCCTTTCCCAGGATTCCATGCCCAGACCAAATATGAACTCATCCTCACCTGTCCACCTAAGGGTTATGACACAGTCTACCAAATTCAGAACAGTGGTGCACAAGTGCCACAGGCAATCTCTCAACATTGGAATGCCAAAAGTGAGTGGGCTCAGACCCGAGTTTGGGCTGAGAGGTCAGAGCAACCACACAGACTATATTCTGGGAGCAGCATGTGTTGCTGGCAAGGAAAATTCTGGGAATTGTAGTCTAGTGCTCCTAGAGCATTCTGGGAGATGTAGTCTCCAAGCCACAGAGGTCACCTGGCACCTTGACACTTGTAGCTCAATTTAGGCTAACCTCACAGTCTGAAACACAGAATCACCTGACTGGATGGAGCTGGGTGCAGCAAGGAATTTAGTTTAGGACAGGGCCTATACTCCTACACTGTAGATCCTGCCATGCTGTAGACAGTGGCAGGTAGAGAGAGGGTCCCCTGCTGTCAGTTAGAGATCCTGGTCCTGGCTGACCTCACCATGCACCTCTTTTTCTGTCCTTTCCATCTTATGGCCTAGGAACCTGCCAGATGTGTCTGCTAAAGACTTTGAGAAGGTTGATTTGACTCAGTTCAAGTGGATCCACATTGAGGCAAGTTCTGCCATACCTGTATTTACAGGGACTCAACCTGCTGGCCCTATCCCCTGTTCTGCCTTCTTCTTTGAACTAGGAAGTACCTTAGAGATAAATGAATACAAGCTCCCTTATCCCCTCTCCATTCTCCCTCATGTTTTCAAGTGAGGAAACTTAGGCCCAGAAAAAACTGGGTGGCAGTCACACTGAAAGATGCAGGCACAGCTGCCTCCTAGCAAAGCCTTGTGTTTATGGAGTGACTAGCTGTCCCAGTTCTGCAGTAGCCTGGCTCTGAGGGGTAGTTGACCTTTGGGGGAACAGAAATGAAATGGCCTGCCCTAACTCCAAAATCAAGAGAACAAATACTTTCATTTTCAAAGAGGAGTTTTGGAGTCTAGGTGAGTGGAACTTCAGGAAACTTCCTGAGTTCTAATCCTAGGTTTGTCATTCAGTTGTTTGTAGGCCCTTAGAAAAGTCTCATATATTTTTTAGCCTCCACATTGGTGAAATGGGACGGGTTATCCATAGGTCTACAAGCTCTAGAAATTTGTGATTTGGGATGGGGCTCTAGTCCAGTTTCCCTGGCCCTCTTCACATCATCCACCAGGGAGCCAGATAGACTGGACAATGCCCAGTGGGTTCTGAGCTGCCTACTCTGCCCCAGGGCCGGAATGCATCAGAGCAGGTGAAGATGTTGCAGCGGATAGAGAAGCACAATGCCAGGCAGCCTCCAGAGCAGAAGATCTGGGTGTCCGTGGAGGTGGAGAAGCCCCGAGAGGAGATATTTCAGCTGTTTGGCTTCGGAGATGTGGTGAGCCCCACACAGCTTCCCACGTGCAATGGAGCAATTTATTCTTAAAGGGAGCCCAAGAGTCCCCTGGGCCAGCCTTCCATTCTTTGGAATAACAACTCCTGGCTTGGTGGTGTTGGAAGACAGGGGTAAAGAGGCAGGTCCCCAGCTTCGGGTGCGTATCCAGGCCTCAGCAGTGGTCACGTGGGTACCAGATCACTTGGCAGGATCAAGAGTCAGCCCCAGGGATATTCTAGCTTTCCATGGTCTTTTCCTCTGTAAAATCAACTGTTTGCTGGGGTTTCTAACTCAGGTAGATCTTGAGTTGTGGAAGCCACTACAGCCTGAGGGGCCAGTGGGAAGGAGACTTTGAATAGGACTGGGATGTAAAAGGTTGGAGTAGGCCTGAGTTGACTCAATCTGGTTGGAGACCAGACCACCAAGCCCATTGGTTCCCACCTTTAAGGCAAGTTTTAAAATGTGGATGTCAGAGTCCTACCCTCAAGTTTTTCATTTGTTTGGGGAGAGTGGAGCTGGGCTTCAGTATTTTTTAAGAAAATTTCCTGTGGTGACTCTAAGGTATCCCTTTGTTTTACAAATAGAAACCTGACATAGAGAGCAGTGTTGTATGAAGGAAAAATCAAAACAACTCTCCAGAGGATGATCAGACTCTAACTTGGCAGTGGTGGATTTCATCCAAAGGTGGCGTTCCAGGCTCTCTGTGTTTTCAAATGTGAAATCCACTGTTCTCAGAACAAACTAGTTGCCACCCAATTAACTCCAGTTCATGTCATCTCCAGGTGTGTCAGAGTAGAACTGTGCTCCTCCACAGGGGTTTCAATGGCTGATTTTTAAAAAGAAAATCTCCTGGCCTTTTTTCTGAGGTGCTTCTGGGTGAACTTGAGCCTCCAACCTTTTGTTAGCTGCCAAGTACATTAACTGTACTACCTTCTGAAACCACAAGGTTAGCAGTTCGAATCCACCAGCCGTTCCACAGTAGAAAGATGAGATTTTTTTCTTCTGTAAAGACTGTTATTTTGTTGTTAAGTACCGTTGAGAAGGTTCTGACTCATAGTGACTCTGTCTAGGGTTTCTGAGGAGTAGCTGGTGAGCTTGAACTGCTGCTGACCTTGCCGTTCAAATGACATTTTGGTCCAATGCTTATCCTACAGCGCCACACCAGGATGCCTATAAAGATTACAGCCTCAGAAACCCTATAGAGTAGCTAAGAGTAGGAAACAACTCAGCGACACACTACCACAACCACCACCCACTCTAGTATATCTTAAAACAGTGTTTTTTTAAAAAATGTGTTTCTTTGGTGGTTTTGGAGGGCTCATTTTAAGATAGGAACAACACTCGACTGCTGCTGGCGAGGAGCAGAGCTGGAAAAAGAGTGAGAGGTGACCGTCAGCTTCCCTTCCACTGTCCACAGGTGTTTGTCAGCAAAGATGTGGCCAAGCACTTGGGGTTCCAGTCAGCAGAGGAAGCGCTCAAGGGCTTGTACAGCCGTGTGAGGAAAGGGTGAGCTGGGGAAGCCAGGAAGGGGGCCCTAGGACGTAAGGAGTGGGAGAGACATGGACTCTTGGGGTCTACCCAGGGGGAGGGCTTTGGGGCAGAGCTTAGCTGAGCTGCTTGCAGGGGTATGCTCATCTGTGCTTGGGCTGAGAAGGGCGCTGATGCCCTGGGCCCTGACGGACGGCTGATCCACTCGGATGCTTTCCCTCCACCCCGGGTGGTGGATACGCTGGGAGCTGGAGACACCTTCAATGCCTCTGTCATCTTCAGCCTGTCCCAAGGTGAGTACCACAGCAAGGGAGGATAGGCCTGGGGGCCTGCCTCTGCCCCGAGACCAGGCTGACTCATTATGTGTCCCTCTCTCTAGGGAAGAGCATTCAGGAGGCCTTGAGGTTTGGCTGCCAGGTGGCTGGCAAGAAGTGTGGTCTGCAGGGCTTTGATGGCATCGCGTGAGCCTAGGGCAGGAGGGACTAGCTCACTTCCTGGAGGTTGACATCCGGGCTGCCCTACTTCCTGAGGAGAGGCGGGCTGTGATGAGGACTCTGCCTGTGTCCTGTGTCCCTTCGCATGGCACCCACAAAACAACTCTTCCTTGAGCCAGCTGTCTGTCATTCTTTCTGTCCATACTCCTCTGACTGGGGACTCCTAAGGCTTTGACACACTCTAGTCCATCTCCCTCTCTCTCTTCCTTCCCCCAAACGATCTCCATACCCAGGTCTGCAGCTGGATAGCCAGAAGCCATGGAAAATCTCCTCTGGACCCTGCATGGTGCAGCGGACTTCACACCCTCAGCCCCAAGAGCTGTGAGTCCCTGTGGCTGATCCAAGTGACAGGCCAGCAGGCAGGGAGCCTACTCTGTGGTTTGGTGGGGCCTTCACAGTCCAAAAATAACTTCCTTAGAAAGCCCCACCCTTGGAGCCTGCCTTGTAGTTCTGGCAGTGTGTTAGCTACAGATGTGGCCAGGAAGGAATACAGTGTTGCAGTTCCTCAGGGAGCCGCTCCAGAGGAGGATAGATGGCAATTGGGGTTCAACTCCAGTATGGGGCCATTCAATGTGACAAAGAGCATGGAGCTTTGGATTTTGAATTCAAATCTATCACTTAATTAGGTGGGTAAGGAGCCCTGGTGGGTTAAGCTGTGGACTGCTAGCTTTAAAATGGTTGATTGAACCTACTAGCTGTTCCTTGGGAGAAGAAAGCTATGGTAGTCTGCTCCTGTAAAGATTTACAGCTTCAGAAATCCTCACTGTTAAGTGGAGATCATAATTCTATGTGTCCCACAGAGTTATTGCGAGGATACAATCAGATGATACTTTAAATGCCCAGCATGATACCTGGTACGAACAAATAATAGTTCTTGATATTCCTGGGATGGTGATGGAGAATGAATGCCATGATGTGCAGGAGGGCTGGTGAGCATCAGGTGAGGTATGAATAGCAGAATGTTGTGCCCCAGGGAGAGACTGAGCTTTCTTCAAGGCCTGTCTGCCACGGCTATGGCCTAACCCCGTGGACTTTGCTAGGTCTCACTCAGCACCATCAGGTTCAGTCCCTGTGTGTCCCTATTGGGATTTAAGCAGGTTAGGCTGGTGGATAGATGACCCAGGGGGATATATTCATTGAGTTCTTTATTGGTTGTCCAGGCCCTAAAAGACTCCAACTTAGAGTCTCCCTGAGCTGCGCAGAAAGATCTGCTGGGGCCAGGCAGGCAGGTGGCCCTCATCCTAACATATACCCCACCATTCGGGGATCCTGTTATGACCTTGAGACATCATGGTTTATATCTCATCATTCTCCAGCTGGATAGAGTGGTCCTCAAACTCCTGTGGGGTGTGCTGAGACTCCAGCGTTTCCCCTGGAAGCTCTTCTGCTTCTTCTGCAGTGTCCCTGGCTTCCGCCTGTTCCCCAGCCTCCCCTTTGGGACCTGGGCCTTCTCCAACCTCTGCCGGTCCCCCAGCCTCTTCTCTAGGACCCAGAGCTCCTACTTCAGCCTTTGCTAGTCCCCCAGCCTCCAAGGACACCCTTCTGGCCTCGATCTGTTCCCCAGCTTCTCTGAGACTTGGAGCTTCTGGTGCTTCTTGTCCTAATGGGCTTCTAGGTAACAGGGGCTGCCTTCCAATATCGTGCAGCTCCTGGTGTCTGGGGGTCTCTCCTGGGAAGTTGATGAGCTCTGCAGGTGTCATGAGCCCATCCCCATTCAGGTCCTGGGTCTCGAGCACCTTGTCCACTACCAGGATCACCTGTGGGAGCACACATATACAGTGACCTGAGATGTTCCAGGAGTTCCTACACTGCCCTACATTCCTGACAGAAGTTTCTGATCCCTCCTTTTACAGGGAACTCACCCAAAAACTCATGGTAAGAAAGACTAAAGCCCCAAGGAGAAGGGTCCCTCGCCCACCCAGCAGTGCTTACTGGATTGGTGGGAGAAGAGTCAGTAGCTCCAGGGGCCAGAGCTGCTGTCAACATGGACAACAGCTCCAGACCATCCAGCTGTCCACTCTGGTCGTAGTCATGGAGGGCAAAGAGGTAGAGGAGAACTGAGGAGAGGAGGCTGGATCAGATGAAGCACCAAAAGGCAGGTGGAGAAGGCAGGAGTCATCAGGCCGACCAGAGGTCAGCTCCCAGTTCTGGCCACCCCTGCCCATTAGCCCAGGTTCTTACCCTGTTCCCGGTTCATGTGCCCAGGCTCCTCTTCCATTCTCTCTAGTCCTTTCAAATAGCTCTGCAGAAGTCTGCCAGAAAGTGAAAATTAACCCAGGAGAAAGCAGACTCCATCCCCAGGCCTCCAGGCCTGCCTACTCACCGAAGCTGCTCTTGGCCTGGCACAAAGGGGTTGGGCAGGGGTTGCTGCAGCGCTTCAGGATTAGACCTGCAAGAGGGAGGGAAGGGCCAGCCTTGCAAAAAGCCTCCCTCAGTGCATTGGTCCCCAAGCCCAAATCCATGGCAGAGTTCTCTCCCCAGAGCAGGGAAATTATTCCTCAAAATGCCCTTAGTGAGGAGGAGGCCCTTCTGGTCCTCTCAGAAGAATCTTAGTCCCCTAAGCTGCTTTTTGTAGCTGCCTTACTTGAATTTAAGTGAAAACTCAAACATTTTTCGATAGAGGTCAGATGAGGCCACCTCTAGTAGATACTAGTTGGAAATCCAAGAAAAAAGCCCAGGGGGCGCCATAGTAGCTCAGGGGCAGCCAAGGGCCCTGCCCAATTTTTATAAAACCCCAATTTGCTCCATGACAAAAAAACTGTTGTTTTTTTTTTAAAAACCAAGCAAAAGGTATATATATATATAATGTGTGTGTGTATGTGTGATAAGTGCCGTCGAGTAGATTCCGACCCATAGCGACCCTGTATAGGGTTTCCGAGGAGCAGCTTGGTGAGCTTGAAACGCTGACCTTGCAGTCTGGCGCATTAACCCACAGTGCCACATCAGAATATATATATGTATGTATGTATATTATGTGCTATGGAGTCGATTCCAAATCTGTGACCCTGTACAGGGTTTCTGAGGCTGTAAATCTTTACGGGAGCAGAAAGCCTCATCTTTCTCCCATGGAACAGTGGTAGTTTCGAACTGCTGACCTTGAGGTTTGCAGCCTGATTCATAACCACTACGCTACTAGAGCTCCATATATATATATGTGTGTATATATATATATAATTGGTCTTTGGAGATGCTCATTGTGTATGTGTCTGTTCTTAAGGTTCAAAACTTTGTTCTCAGTTCTGTTTGCTCCCATTGAGAGTGAGCTGCTGTCCCTGCACTGTCCCGGCTGCTAAGCCTGTATGTGTCTCCATGCTTCCCTAACACTGCATGGTATTCACAACTAGAACCTTGAGAAAGGCATTCAAATAAAGTGGGCATGGTATGCTAATGAGCCCTATTTCTTTGGGGTTCTATGCATCACCCGTCATTGGAGCTGAGCTCCCTGGTTCCCAATGAATCCAGCAAACAAGCTTGGAGTACCCACTTTGTGTACAGAACTCAGACAGGAAGAAGGCACGAGGTTGGGGTGGGATACAGAGATCAGGGGTGTACATCCCATTCTCCGACCTCCCACAGAGGTCCAACCCACCCTCTGGTTTTCCAGAGATTCCTAGCACCCTGTCCTCATCATTCCTACCTTGTGGCTCCATCCTTGGGAGCAGCCTGGCTTACGGATAGCAGCAGCAGCAGCATGAACTCTCTCATCATCAAAGGCAGCATCTTTCTGGGAATAGAGGGGGTCAGCAGGAAAAGAGGTGCTTGTCACAATAATGGGGGAATCAATCAGGTCAGCCAGGAATGCTTTCCTCTTTCTGCCTCCACTCTGCAGTCCAGGAGACATGACTCCTGCTCAAGTGAGGGGTCACCACAGACATCAGCCATCACCTAGGTGGGTGGGCTCCACATTGTGGTTCAGTAGTGGGACTCTGTTAAAAATACACCTGACTCCACATCCAGTATAAAGGCACATAAAAGCATGGCCTCCCCATATCTTCATCCCACTTGCTCCCAGCAGTGGCTGAAGTGTCCTAAGAAGGACAGTTAAAATATGTCTGATGGATGATATGATCCTATACGTAGAAAACTCCAAGGACTCAGTAAAAAAACTATTAGACCTCATAAAAAGATTCATCAAAGTGGGGGGGTATAAGATTAACATACAAAAATCAATTGGATTTCTCTATAGCAACAGCAATAGCGATGAAAAGGACATTAGGAAAGCAATACCATTTATATTAGCCACGCAAAGGATGAAATACTTAGGAATACACATAACTAGAGAAAGGACTTATACAAAGAAAATTACAAAACACTACAAAGCACTACTACAAGAAACCAAAAGAGACCTAGAGAAGTGGAAGAACATACCATGATCCTGGATAGAAAGACTCAACATCATGAAAATGTCAATACTACCCAGAGCAATTTACACATACAATGAAATCCCAATCCAGATTTCAAAAACATTCTTTGAAGAGATGGAAAGGAAAAAGACCCAGGATAAGCAAAGCACTGCTAAAAAGGAAGAACAAGGTTGGATGTCTCTCACTCCCCAATTTCAAACTTTACTACATGGCTATGGTGGTCAAAACAGCCTGGTACTGGTACAACAAAAGAGACATTGATCAATGGAATAGAATCGAGAATCCAGATATCAACCCGACCACTTACAGCTAAATGATTTTTGACAAAGTCCCTAGGCACGCTGCATGGGGAAGAGACAGTCTCTTTAACAAATGGTGCTGGCAGAACTGGAAAATGATATGTGAAAGACTGAAACAGGACCTTTGCCTTATGCCCTATACAAAAATGAACTCAACATGGATTAAAGATCTAAATGTGAATCCTAAAATTATGAAGATCATCAATGAAAAAATAGGTACGAGCATGAGGGCGCTAATTCAGGGCATACACAGACTGCCACACGTTTTGAAAAGTACATAACAAAAACAGACAAAATAGACGAGTGGGGCATACTAAAAATTAAAAATTTGTGTGCATCAAAAGACTTCACCAAGAGAGTAAAAAGGGAACCCACAGACTGGGAAAAAATCTTTTGCAACAACATATCGGATAAGGGACTCATTTCTAAAATATATAGGAAAATCCTATACATCTACAAAAACAAGACAAATAACCCAATCAAAAAATGGGCAAAGAATATGTCCCCCCCATCCCCCCCAAAAAAAGCTAAAGAGGATAGAGAGAAACACTGTTAACTGATGATATATGGAGGGGATAATAATCAATGTAATGAAACAAGCTATATGAATGGTTGAATGTGAAGCTGATGATGTGCCCTGTAAACTTTCACTCAATCCAAAATAAAAACAATTAAAAAACAAAATGGGCAAAGAATATGAACAGACACTTCAACAGGCAGGAGATCCAGGCAGCCAACAAACAGATGAAGAAATGTTCACGATCACTAGCCATAAGAGAGATGCAAATCAAAATAACAATGAGATACCATCTCACACCAGCAATAACAGCAAAGATCAAAAAAGTTGAGAACAATAAATGCTGGTGGGGATGTGGAGAGACTGGGACACTCCTCCACTTGCTGGTGGGACTGTAAAATGGTCCAACCTCTCTGGAAAGCAATATGGTGCTTCCTCAGAAGGTTGAAAATAAAAATACCATGTGATCCAGCAATTCCTCTACTTGGTATTTACCCACAAGAAAAACGAGCCACAACACAGGAAGATATATGCACACCAATGTTCATACCTGCACTATTTACAATAGCAACAAGATGGAGACAGCCAAAGTGCCCATCAACTGAAGAATGGATCAACAAACTGTGGTACATACACATAATGGAATATTATGCTACCTTGAAAAATAACAAGGATATCTGCATGCCACTACCTAACATGGATGAACCTTAAGGACATTATGTTGAGTGAAATTAGTCACAAAAGGAAAAATACTGCATAGGACCACTACTGTAAAATACTAAGTAAAAGAACCCATACTAATCCACTAAAGTGGATTCTTAGCTGGTTGCTGGGACGTAGGGGTAGGATTAGAGGAGGGAGGGGAAGGTAGAGCACAAGGCAGAGATTAGACACAGGAAAGTCTGGGTGCTGGGGAAGGGGGCAATATACAAGAAGGGAGAGGGGAATGGAAGAACAAAGCATATGGGAGAACAATTAGGTCTGAATGGGCTAAATGGGACAGAGGTAAATAATGATGTAGGCACAACCTTGGAACAATGGGGCTCTGGGATACAGAGATTGGGAGATGGTTGGAAGAGGGAAAAGGGGGGAATAATGTTAAGATGCTTGGCTGTCTTGAACCTTGGTTTCCCATGCATTATATTATAAAATAGACACAGGAAGGGGAGAGAAAGGAATAGCCAAAAACATCACCATAGAAAGCTTGGAAGTCCATCTTCTGCCTATAACTGATTGAAACACCAAAAGTGGGGCTACAACGTGCCCAGTGAGGAGGTTGCCTGAGGAGCCTATGCATTACATAAGACTATATAGCTGGAAACCTGAACTACATCCAGACCTTCAGAGATGGGAAATTTCCACTTGAAAGGATGAACAGATCAGCCTGGAGCATCTAGAAAAACAGAAGATACTTCTTGAAAGAAAGACCTACAGGAAAAATACAAAACAATAGGGGCAGACCGACTGTTACTACAAGAACAAACAAGTTGCTTGCCCAGGAGACATCAAGGCAAGTGGTCAGGTCCCCTCAGTGCAAATCCTCTTTCAAGACTAAGATGCAGTGGGAATACATGCTCTGTTTGGTGACCACACACGTCACCCATAACAGGAAGTGAGGGAAAAACAGCAATGAAGCTGTGAGCTAAGCCCTACAACGTTCAATAGACTCCTGTGAACCTGGTTGGAGACCTGGTTGGCCAGGGGTGTGGCAAGACATGGGGACTCTTGGGCCCAGAGTCAGTGACATAGCCATAGAGGACTAGAGTGGAGAGTGAAGCATCCAGCTGATAAGAAGAGAGGACATATGCACAAGAACACCCACACTTGTAGATAATACCCATTTGACATAAGCTTCAATAACTGGATGATCAGAGCTCAACCCGAAGAAGAAAGAAGAGGAGGGAAAAAAGCGTCATCTGATACAATTTGATGAACATGACCTACACCTATGGATGCAGTAGCTCAAAAGAGTAAACAAATCCTCACTGCAAGAATCATTCCCACCCCCTCCACACAAAGAGTAGACAGGAATGGGTAACTTGGACATTGGCTACCCAAAATGGTGGTGGTGGTGGGGAGGACTACAAAGGCAAGAAGTGACTAGCTTACAAGCTTTCAAGAAGGAACCTAGATCCAGATGGTGTGGAGGAAGGTAGAGTCCTCCAGTGAGTAATATCCAACCTGTCTAGGAAGGGCTGATGAAATGAAATACAAATGGGTCTCTTGTGATGCAATAGTGAATAATTGTTATCAGGACTGATAATGATGGATGGAAATGTAAAGGTGGACATTTTACAACAAGGAGGGGAGTGATTAACTTTTCAGTCTTGGAGCAGAGAGCCCGGGAACCAACAATGGAGAAGAGCGGATGGCGGGACCCTACCCAGAGAAGTCGTGACGCCTGAGATGGAGGCAGAGACAATGACAAGGAGAGATGGAGAGGCTGGGGACTTGAGATCCAGCAAGGGAAAGGGGCTGTGTGCTGATAACCGGGGAGAGGAAGACAGGCTTGCAGGGTATACCCTTTGATTGGCTGATGATGCATGGAGGCTTGTAACTATGGCAATGAAACGATATATGACAGGATGAATGTAAAACCTATGGTATCCCATGTAAACTATCACATAATACACAATAAAACATTAAAAAAAAAATGTCTGATATAGTTCAGTCCACTCATTCTACAAATGAAGAAATCAATTCAGAGAGCTTGAGAGAAAAGTTAGATTCCAAGACATAGGGAGTCAGAAAAAGGCTAAGACTGAAACAGAGAGGCAGAGAGGGAAACAGATTGTTAGTTTGTATTTATTGAATACCCATTGAGGAACAAACCAAAAGAAACAGCTTCATGCTGTTGAATGTGTTCTGGCTCCAAGAGACAGATAAAGTTATCTAGGCTGTAAAGCCTTATCTTTCTTCACA